GGTTATATTTTAATTTAAATCCAAATTTAAATTTTATTTTTAGAGTAGCAATCGAGTAATTCTTTAGTTTTTAACAAACAAAAAATCAGAAATTGAGGACAACGACAAAGACATCAACACTTTCCTTGCTTTTATTAAACATGTCGGAATGATTTGTCATAAATAAAGATTTAAATGTCAACGTTGACAACAGAGCGGTTAAATTATTTATTTAGTCTTGAGTTTCATTATATTTACGAGAGAGTAAATGATTATTCATTATTTCACTTTTGTCAAGGTGAAAACAAAAAGTTTGTTAGCTTAAGACTAGTAGGAACCAATTGACTAAGATGAGATGAATATGCCTATCGCAACCCAATTAAGAACAATTTGACTCAATGTGGTCGAACAAGGAATATGTTTAGTTCAGATACCAAAGTGACTCGAGAATTGTAAGATATAACCACGACTCTTCACAATAGTATGATATTATCCACTTTAGCATACGCTTTCACGGTTTTGTTTTCTGTTTCTCTAACAGATCTCATACTAACAGAGATAGTAACTCATGATCTCCTCTTAATTAGCCAGCGAGACTACTCCTCTCAATAATCTTCAATATTCATATAGTCTCTGTATAAGACCACATGTTCGAAGTCCAGCCATTAAGAGTTCAAGAAGAGACGAAAAGCCCCACCAAGTTAAAGGATTTTGGTGACTAGTTGTAAATTTTTCATATCAACGAATAATTTGAAGATAGGAACTGTGAGATCGAATTAATATTATTTATTATTATTATGGGTGCAATAATTGTCATTACTATTTTCTGCTTGCAGTACTTTCAAATTAATTTATCTCTGTAATATTTATAATCACTAATGTTAATGTCATTTTTGTAATTTTGCATACTTTAAAAATATTTTCTAGGTACGATCATAAACTTTGAATTGTTAACCTACAGGGAGTCCATTGTAAATAATCAAATCTGATCTCAGCCGTCGATCCCTTCCTTCGGGGACCCACATCATCCTCATGAAAAAATAAATTAATTAAAGAAAAAAAAAAAAGGAAGCGTAATTGGCGGTGATTTTTCCTTTTTCTTTTTCTTTTTTTTTTCGTACGTGGACGGACACGGTAACGATTAGACATGGGTCATGTGGAACCCCGTGGAAAGTGGGGCCCGCCACGTGACACTATGGCAGTTCTCCCCTACTGCAGCCACCATGTTTCTATATTGTACACACACAATTAGCTGTGTTTTTTATAAATATAATTTCTATTTCTGAGGATTAATTAAATAAATTACTAAAATTGAGGTGTTGGGTTTTATTTATTTTTAATTTTGCATTAGTTTATTTGTATGATTATGTCTAATTAAACTTAATCATTGAATGTCTCATTTCATAATGAGACAAATTTAATGTTTGCAATAATAACCATGGAAGGAATATATCTCTACTTTAAAATTTTAAAAAAAAAACATAATTTTTTAGTGTTGTATAATAATTAATTTTTTTTAATTTATATTCTTAACTAGTATACTTAATTAAAAAAAAAAAAAAAAACTTAATGAGATCAATACCTTTAAGGAAGGTGATATGGGCTTAAAGACCACTGGGCCATGACATCTCAAGCCCATTAATATATATATATTTATTTATTAGAAAATGACAGACTCCCTTCCTTCCTTTTTAATGTTTTATTTTATTTTATTATTATTGTGTTGAATCATAGTGAAATTAAAGCTAAGGTTGACGTAGGGATGTGAAAGCATATTACAATGTCAAGCTACATTATTTTATCTTTATCATCCAAACAAATTTGACTTTTTTTTTTCAAAATGTCCTTATCAATTCTTTTTTATTCTATGCATTTATTGCATATTTTCTCGCCTTGGTCCATCCGGTTGGACGTCGGTACATACTTGAATTTGCTCCTTAAAATTTTGAAAGTTTATTTTTTATAGTTTGGTTAAGTCTCACTGAGTCATTTCTCAACCAATTTTCACTCACCTAAAAATGCAACTTTGATCTCTAGTTTCTTTTCATACTATCGAAACCCAAATTCAATTCATATAAATAGAGTAGAGATGATTTATTAGGTTTAAGCATGCTATGAGACAAACAAAATCTGAACTATTTAGGTCAAAGTAATAGAGACATTTATTGCTTCATTCGCTTCACAATAGAAATGTCCATTGAATAAGACGAAGAATTCCCGTTTAAACGAGGAATAGGAAGGGAGCAAGGAGAAATTTTTTGACGTTAGCTAAACGGAATTGAGAAGGGAGATTATATTTCTTGTCTCTGCCCATGGTAAAAAAAGTTCGTGTAGACAGGTAGGTAAATGGTGAATTTTGTGGAGATGAATATTGAAATAGGAAGCGAGGGATGGAGAAGGCTTCTCTATCTTCGCCCTTCCCTTGAACATCTCTACTCGATAGAACGATCTATCCCTTTATGTTTGTAAATTTATTGTACACCTAGTAACCATATTATTTTTTTAAGAAAATAGTTTTATTTTAAAATAAAAAAATACGATAATTTTGATTGCACAATCATAAAAGTTTTTCAAACCGTCCAAATTTGAAATTAGATGTGTATCTTTCCTAAAAGCCCCAAACTAATCGGTACCTCTTAGTTTGGGTCAAAATAGAATGTAATATCAAAATTGGAAAGAAAAAAATGTCAAATTTTTGTTAGAAAAAGAGAAAATAGTCACTATCCCACATTGATTAGTAGTTATCCGTTAGGGAAATGATTTATAGAATAATAATAAATAAATAAAATTGGTGTTTAATTTTGGATAATAGATCGCATTACAGCCATTAATATTGGCGGAGCACCCCATCTGACTCCAACCTACCCCTTTTTCATTTTAATATTCATTCTTTTTTCATACCCACATGATTGGCTCATAATTATTTTTTCATTTAAAACCCATTTTTGAATATTGTCCTCCTCAATTTCTGTCCAATAATAATTATTTTAATACATGTCACGTCGAGAATGAAATATATTTTTTTTATGTAAACTTCTCTTTAATTTACCTATTTTATAATTTTATAATATTTACTCACAATGGATTTGGATCGTTATAAATTGTATGAGAGCTAGACATAAAACAGTAAACTAATGAGGACGGACTAAAGCATTCCTTATAGCAGAAATGGTTTAAAATCATAAAACCGATGGTGATACATAATATCTATCAGTGATAGTCTTGAACTGAACTGTACGGTTATATCATGGACCAATGATATACATATAAAAGAGATTATCTTATAAAGTTGACATGGAGTGGGAAGGCAAGGAAGAAAGCGTCACCTTCCACAGACAGCAACCAAATGAAAGCATGGCGGCAGCAAAATGGGCCGCGTGGCTCTGCAATTTATGAACCTTCGAAGACTTTTGTGTTTTTCCGTGTGTGAATCGATCAAAGCTAACTCTGACTTTTTCACTAAATCCAAAAACCTGCTTTTTGCCCGCTTTGACCATTTCTCCATTTCTCTGTTTCTTCCTCGCCTATAAATCTCCACTTTAATTCTGTTTCTTCCTCATACTCCAACAAATAAATATTGCCGGAAAAAATGGAAACCATGACGAACGGAGGAACCCTTCAATTCACGGATGTTTCAACGGCTCTTTCCAATCTCATTCTAACTGCCGGAGGAAATACTCTGGATTCAATCTTCTCTCACTGCGACAATTTCAGCTGCTCTGTAATCGACGGCGTAGATTTCGACCCGGCAGTTGGGTCGTCGGTTTATCTCCGACAGCGGGAAGTACTGCAGAGATTTTCTCAGGAGAGGAAAGCAAATGGGTCTCGGGATTTGTTTGCAAAGGCGTACGAATTGCTGTATTCGGGTTGCGGCGCTGCCGTGAGTGGCGGCAAGAGGAAGGTTTACAGAGGAGTGCGGCAGAGACAATGGGGGAAATGGGTGGCGGAGATTCGACTGCCGCAGAATCGGATGAGGGTATGGTTAGGAACCTATGACTCGCCGGAGACCGCCGCCTATGCTTACGACTGCGCCGCCTGCAAACTCCGAGGGGAATATGCTCGGTTGAATTTTCCAAATTTGAAGGATCTAAAGAGCGATTTAGGTACCGACGAGTTTGTGAAATTGAGTGGGTTGAGAAAATTGGTGGATGCCAAAATTCAAGCGATTATTCAGAAGATAAAGGGGAAGGGGAAGAAGAAGGATTGTAGGAGAATCGGCGGCGATTTAGGTTCGGGTTCGTGTTCTTCGTCGTCATCGTCGGTGTCTCTGCCTCCGGCGGTAGTGGAGATGACGGAAGAATGGAGTTGGGAAAGGGTATCGCCTGTTGGTGCAGCGGAAGATGGGTTGTGGAACTTTGAGAACTCACCTCGAGCTGGTTCAGTGGATTGCTTGACGGCGACGGCGGCGGCGGGATCGGAAACAGAGTGGTACTCGTTGGAGAAGATGCCTTCTTTTGATGCAGAACAGATTTGGGATGTTCTTGCAAACTAGACCTTTTTTGTTCTTTGTTCAATCTTCATGGGACCAAATAAACTCTTGGTTTGATGATAATTTTGGATTTTGATTCTAACTTTGTAAACTATTAAACACTTCCTAAAGGTGTAAAAAATTGTGCTTGGATCGTCCATATAAATACGATTCTCCAGAATGATATGATATTGTCCACCCACTTTGAGTATAAGCTCTCATGGTTTTGCTCTCGAGTTTTCTAATAAATTTCGCTCTCATGGTTTTGCTCTCGAGTTTTCCAATAAATTTCATAACAATCGAGAATGGAGACAGTATCACTTTGATTATAAATACATCCGAATTGGGAAGGTGCAGGGAGGGAGAAAATAGCCCAAGAATTGAGTTGGGCCTTGGGCTTCAATTTATGGCCGTTGTGGGCTGGGCCCAATTTGGGCTTTTCACTAAAACCAATCTGAAAGATTATAAAATTTTAGAGAGACGTTAGTTGTAAAATTTGAGGAGGAACATTCTATTTTATAATTTTAAATTTAATTTAAAAATGCCTTTCTTTTTCCATACAAACAAACAGCCGAGCTCTGATTCTCTGGTTACTGCTCTCTCTCTCTCTAACCCTTTCCATTAATTAACTTCTCCATTTCGCACCATCCTTGGATTCTTCTTCGTGTCCTAACTCCCAGATCTACTCCCCCTTCTTCCCATCTTCGTCTTCTTCTTTAAGATCTTACTTAAATCCCTCAAAAAGCGTCTCTCCACTCTTTTCTCTTTGTTCTCTTTCCCATTTCTCCACCATGTTGCCGTTTTTCCTCTTCATTTTCATCTGCTTCGCTGCTCTTTTGTCCTCTCCACTTGCCGCCGGTGAGCTCACTACCTGCTCCGGGATAGTCCCCATGAAGTATCGGAGCGATAAGATTTCCATTGCCGATTTTGGGGGTGTCGGCGATGGCCGTACATTGAACACTAGAGCTTTTCGAGCTGCGATTTATCGAATTCAACATTTGAGAAGAAGAGGGGGTACTTTGCTTTACATTCCTCCTGGGGTTTACTTGACGGAGAGCTTTAATCTCACTAGCCATATGACTCTGTATCTTGCAAAAGACGCTGTTATCAAAGCTGTTCAGGTATATGCTTCTCACTGAACTTCTTTGTTGTTTCTCTTATTTGTGATTCAGTAGTGTGGCTAGTGTTGGTTGTTGTTGAATGAGAGAATTTCCCTGATTTTTCGCTGGTGATTCTCGTGCTTAGGGTTTCTTTCGTTTGGTGATTCTGATTTTGAGCTTATTTTTGTCGGTGATTATGAATGGTTTCTAGATTAGGGGATTGGGATTTATCAGAATGAACGTGTGCTCTGGTGGGTGGGTATTCGATTAAGCTGTGGCATGTGCATCCACTCTAAATTTATAACATTATATATAATTATGATTGGACCGTCACAGGCTGTTCTTTGTCGGATTCTGATGCTAAATTTTTATTAGAATGTGATCCCTTTTTAGTTGATTGATCCATTCAAAGTTCTGATTTGCTAATTTGTGATTATTATTTTGCTGATCTGGACATCAATTTCAAGCAACCAAAATTGGCTGTCCCATAGTTGAAATATCTATGTCAAAACATTGGTTGATTCTTTTAACAAGGATGATGACAATGTTATTAGTTAGTTGTAGCAATTAATTAACTCAATCCATGTCTATTTCAGCTAGCAAACAGGCCAGAAAGGATCTGTTTTAGGCAATCGGATCCTTTCCTTAATGTTCTTTTGTTTTTGTGAGATCCCACATCGGTTGGAGAAGAAAACAAAACCTTACTTATAAAGGTGTGGAAATCTCTCCCTAGAAGACGCGTTTTAAAATCGTGATGCTGACGACGATATGTAACAAGCCGAAGCAGACAATATCTGCTAGTGGTGGGCTTGGTCTCGTACAAATGGTATCAGAGCCAGGTTACCATGCGAGGCACTAGTTGGAGTAGGACTAGACTATCTTCATAGTAGACGCATTTTAAAACCATAAGGTTGACAGTGATATGTAATGAGCCAAAGCGGACAATATCTACTTGCGGTGGGCTCAGGCTATTACAGTTTTCCAAGAAGGAACTTTACCTATTTCTCTAGTACTTGAAGTAAAATGCGTGGAAATTATGTCAAGATTTTGAAACTAGAACTGTTATATGTTGTCGGTGTCTAAAATTTGACTCCTATATGATTACCCGCTTCCAATAAGCATTTTTTTTATTCTGGGTTTGTATGCATCCTAATGGATGGTCAATTTAGTGAGTGCAAGATCTTTGGTCTAAGAGTTTTCACCATTCGTATCCATCAACTTCTCGATGATGTAATTTTCTGCAGATGATGAGAATTGTCCGATCTTTTCATAAAATTTCTCTCTTTTTTTAAACTAGTTTAATCCTTCACTTTTATTGTTTTACTTTTGTATTAAGCTTTTGTTTTTTTTTCTCTGTTTGATGTCCAGGATTCTTCAAATTGGCCAGTGATCGAGCCGTTGCCATCATATGGAAGAGGGAGGGAGCGCCCTGGTGGAAGATATGTAAGCTTTATTCATGGAGATGGTGTTCATGATGTGGTGATCACTGGTATGAATCATCTAGTTCTTTTAAAATGTATATAAAGGCTATTGCAAACCTGGTTTACTTGTGTTGTTCTTGGAACAAAAGTATGTATATTAATAGCCCGAGTTAAATTGTTGTGGTAGGTGAGAATGGGACCATTGATGGCCAAGGTGATGTCTGGTGGAATATGTGGAGGACAAGGACTCTGATGTACACTAGGCCTAATCTCGTTGAATTTATCAATTCTCATAATATCATCATTTCCAACGTAATGTTCCTGAACTCTCCGTTTTGGAACATTCATCCAGTTTACTGCAGGTAAGAATTAAAGTCCGTTTTCAATCACGTTACAGGTAAGAATTAAAGTCCGTTTTCAATCACGTTACAGCTCCATAATTGCTCATATCGTGTTGAAATACCCCTTGAATGTTCATCATATTTTCTGCTTTTCTTCCAACCAAAACACTTTTAACTTGTGAGATCCCACATTGGTTGGAGAGAGAAACGAAGCATTCTTTATAAGAGTATGAAAATCTCTCCTTAGTAGAGCGTTTTAAAATCATGAGGTTGATGACGATACGTAGCGGGGAAAAGCGGATAATATCTACTAGCGGTGAGCTTGGACTCTTACAAATGGTATCAAAGTTAGTCATCGAGCATTGTGCCAACGAGGACGTTGGGTTCCCGAGGGGGTGGATTGTGAGATCCCACCTTGGTTATGGTTGGAGAGTAGAACGAAGTATTCCTTATAAGGGTGTGGAAAACTCTCCCTAGCAGACGCGTTTTAAAACCGTGAGGTTGACGGTGATACATAATGGGCCAAAACGGACAATATTTACCAGGGTGGGCTTGAGCTATTAAACTCCTTTCAGGGTAATATCAACAGTGTGCGATCTTACTTTTTTTCTAATCTTCTGTTGCAGTAACGTTGTTGTGAGATATGTCACAATATTGGCTCCTCGTGATTCCCCGAACACCGATGGAATCGATCCAGGTGCGTTTTCAGATCCGTAGTTATTAGCTCCCCCACCCCCGCCCCTGGTCGACCTCTGGTTAAAATAATTGCTTATTACAAGTCATGTTCAAAGTTCTCATAACATTAGTTCTGTATATGCCTGAAAGTAACAAAACTTGTCAAACTGATGAACTCAGACTCGAGCAACAACGTCTGTATAGAAGATTCCTACATTTCAACTGGAGATGATCTTGTGGCTGTGAAGAGTGGATGGGACGAATATGGTATCGCTTACGGTCGTAGTAGTTACGACATTACCATCCGAAGAATATCGGGGTCAAGTCCATTTGCTGGAGTTGCTGTAGGAAGCGAAACCTCCGGTGGTGTGTCAAATGTATTAGCAGAACACCTAAGCTTATACGACATGGGAGTTGGTATCAACATCAAGACAAACATTGGAAGAGGAGGGTTCATAAAGAACATAACCATATCCGATGTCTACATGGAGAGCTCGCGAAAGGGTCTAAAGATTGCGAGCGATACTGGAGATCATCCCGACGACAAGTTCGACCCAAACGCTCTTCCAATCGTCAAAGACATCACAATTAAAAACGTTTGGGGTGAGAATGTGCAGCAAGCAGGTTCTATATATGGCTTGAGGAACTCCCCATTTACTGGTATATGTCTTTCGAACATTAACCTTCGTGGCACAGCGAGACCGAGATCAGTACCGTGGACTTGCTCGTATGTAAGTGGTGCAGCTCTCTTGGTTAGTCCATGGCCATGCACAGAGCTTACCAGCACACAGCAGGATGGTGTGTGCTCCAATAACTTCTAAACACATCTATTATGTATATTTCGTTCTTTAAACCTATGAAATTTCGCGTCGTGTTTGTTGTAGCTATATTCCATTTCACCCGCAAAGGTCAATGGGGATTAAAAGAGATTAAATTACAAATTTGGTCTCAATGGATCCAAGAAAGTTTGTTTTAAAAGTTATAATTTATCCTTATACTTTGATAAAATCTCATAAATAGAGAGTGATTATTTGCACGATCATTTAGTCTATCATCGACATATCATATCAAAAAATTAAAAATAATAACGAGTAATAATTTTTTAATAGTAATGTATCACTAATGTATAATTCTTTTTTTACGTTAGATAAACATAGAAATAATCTATTAATGATTATTAGTTATATAAATGGGCGTGATTTTTTTAATAAAAGAATATATCATATTTATAAATTATTTATTTGTGTAATATATTTAACCATATTAGTTAAACAGTTACCAACTAACTTTCCGTACAAATTGTTCGTTGTCAATGTTGTCTTGTGGTGGGCCTTCAGATCCATCTGAAAGCCCAATAAATAGACCTCATTTGGGCCTCAATGGGCCGCACGCCATAGGAGTGAAACTTTTGAACAACTGCCACTCCTTGTCGTTCCAAGTGCTGCTCTCTCAGTTTGGCGCCAAAGTTAGTTTTGCTCTCTGGGTTTATTAGGGTTCCGTTGATTTGGGGTTCAGTTTGTGGTTCTTCTTAGCAATGGCTTCTTCACCTCCTTCAAAACGCCGGCGTCAAAACCTCGCCATTGATGACGCCTTTGAGACCTTACTTGCGACGTCTTCCTCGGATAATAGATTGTCCCCTGTCGTCGTTTTCGCTCACGGTGCTGGTGCCCCTTCTTCTTCTGAATGGATGATCAGGCATTTCTTTTTTCTTTTTCTTCGTCGTTCTTTTTCGTTCGTCTTTCCATTTTCCGATTGCCTCCGACGATTTCTTTCTCGTACTCGCTCGTTTTGGAGTTGTTTGGAGTTGATGAACTGCGAGAACTGGGGAGCGATGGTACTGAGAATTTAGGTTTGATTTGGGATGAAATTGGGTGTGATTTCGTTTCAGTGTTGTGAATTATACGTAATTGAAATTTAAGTAGGAAATATTTGTAAGGATAGTTATTCCTTGAGCTTTGGCTAATACAGTTTTCTGGCCTGAGTGTTGCTCTGTATGGTTCCTCTTTAAGCGTTCATTTTTTTTTATCTTAAAGATCGATGATCCTCCTCGCTCATTTGAAGGGTAGAATTCTTTTTCAGATGGTGAAATTGGGGAATCTTGTCTGGAAATTCTAGCTGAATTTGTTATCCCCATTGAGTAGCATAGGCAAGCTTGTTACCATGTGATCTATTTTTCTGCATTTTACGATGTTTTCTAAGCCATTTCTGATCTCTTATTTGAGATTCAAATCCTTGCAGTATGGTTTGATTCTATCCTGTAAAATATTTTTGACCAATTAGTTGACTTATGAAGACTTAAAATTTCTTGATTTCATCCAGATGGAAAGATGTGTTAGGCAAGGCACTACATGCTGTTGATGTTGTCACCTTTGACTATCCGTGTGAGTACTTACCATTTAACAATACATTGATATAGGACTATATACCTTTTTCGATGTTACTAGGCATTGGAACATGATGAACTTCAAATTTGGCTGTCTCTTTCAATTAACTTTTAAAATTTTGAGTTGAGTTGACAGACATTTCTGGTGGAAGGAAGCCTCCTCCCAAGGCTGAAAAATTGGTTCCATACCATGTAGAAATTGTCAAAAGGACAATTGCAAGGTACCCTGGGCACCCTTTGATTTTGGCTGGTAAATCTATGGGTTCGAGGTAATAATTTTGTTTCTTTGCTTGAAATTATCCGTTTGGACTTCTGCTTAGCGTCTCCATAAGTATGAAATTTTCAAATATTTTCGAAGCATATTGTCATTGGTGGGCTATAAATGGAATAAACTTCTCCTCAAGTGATCTTTTTTTAACAAGATTTAAAAAAAAAAATAATGTTCACAGATAGCCTATGCAAATGAATGAAAATATTTGAGGTGATTTTTAGGACCGATTCATTTTTTGCTTATTCTGTCTTTTTTGAATAATTTGAGGTTTTTTTTTTTTAATTTTTTTTATTTTTATAAAACCATGAACATTCAACTTCATAGATGATAGTCACAATAAAACTTCATAATTTGAGATTTTCTGTTGGGTAAATATGGTTTTTACTTATTTTATTATTCGCAGAGTAAGTTGCATGGTAGCTTGTGAGGAAGACATTCATGCTTCTGCAATAATTTGCTTGGGGTATCCCTTGAAGGTTTGAGACTATTTATGCATATCAGATTGAAAAATCCTTCAGGCTTTAGGGTAAATTAACATCTCTTGTTATGGTTTCTTTTGCAAGTTGTAGATGGCTATCTATCAAGTATATACACTGTCAGTTATGGTCATACCAAACTTGGGACAACCTTACCTTTCTCATAAGAAACTTGAATGAGTAAATAAACTTGACCTTTTAGTTCAGATATGCAACAAGTGAGTGATAGATGACTAGTATATGTTGGATATGGACTCATACCTCAAATTAAGTGTTTGCAAACTTCATGGGTTTGAAAAACCTCTGCGGGTAGGAATGACAATGAAGGTGACATTTTCCATTGTACAATGGAAGCTTATAGCTTCTGCCAATTAATCAGATAAAGTTGCATGTTTTTAGGGCTTGAAAGGGGATGTCCGAGACCAGACGCTACTGCAAGTTACCATTCCTATCATGTTTGTACAGGTACATCCTCTTTACAACTTACCTCAACAACTAAACAATGTAAGTTGCAATATTCTCCTCTAGAAGAACTTGAGCATCGCTCAAGTGGTTAAGACATGTATCTTCTATTAGTCAGTCGTTCGAATCCCCCCTGGGGCCCACATCTTTTTGAACACAAAATATTCTCTTTTGAAAGATATGAAGCATAACCCACACCTTCTATGGCAAAGTAATAACATATCGGTAGATCTACTCTGGTTTCATGAGGGAACGTTATGATTTATGGGCCACCTTGAGTTGGATACAAGTTGCTTTTTCACACCTATTAATGATAGAATGTTAAGGGATCAAAGACATTCATAGACACTTGAGAGATTCGATCGAAGTTCAATCACATCGTTGTGCAGTCTTTAACATCATAATTTTGCCATTCAGGGTAGCAGGGATGCTCTGTGTCCTTTAGAGAAGCTGGAGGATATTCGGAAGAGGATGAAATCAATTGGTGGGTTACATGTGATTGATGGTGGTGACCACTCTTTCCAGATCTCAAAGAAGTACCTTCAAGGCAAGGGTTCGAGTAAAGATGAAGCCGAAAATGTAGCTGCTCAGGCACTTGCTACTTTTGTCTCTGGATGTCTTAGATAGCTCTAGCTAAGCTTTTTTGGGTGTACAAATTTGTGTTTTTAGACATTACTTTGTAATATAAAACGGTCGTATCGTCAAGCATATAATTTTGTCATCTGACATTATGTATCTCGTTTTATTGCGTATCAGATTTATGTTCATATCTATATATATAATTATAGCGAGCAAAATTTAAACATATGCATTTTATATTGATAGTAAGGATAGCAATACAGAAACTTTATTTGGAAGAAGGAAAAAAGTAGGGTGTCTTATAAATTGTCTTATTTATTTTAAGCTTCACTCGAATACTTAGTAGTAGGAGTAGCAGTAGCAGTTTAGATGCATTCTCTGATTCCTTTCCCTTCAATCTAGTAAGTACCCTTCCACTTCCTCCTTCCAATTCTGCATATACAATCAAAACAATGATAAATAGTTATTCTTTTCAACCAATCCTATGAATTCAACTGTAACAATCGAACGCTAAACCCAGCTAATGCTCACATGAGCGTTGAGGCAATCAAACACTGGGTGAATTCTATTTCGACCCGACATAAAAAAGAACTTGCCTTCCTTTAGTGCCGACCTCTGCGACAATCGTCGTCACTGTCACTGTTGTCGCTGTGGTCAGAGAAGGCATCCTTGATCTTATTCAAGAAGCCCCCTTCTTTATTTTTGTGATGTCCCTTCTTCCTCGACCCTCCAGCCTTGCAGTGGCCGACATTGGGACTGGCTGGCTGGCAGTGGCCGACGTTGGGATTGGCTGGCTGGCAGTGTCCGATATTGGGATTGGCTGGCATGCAGTGGCCGTGCCCCCCCGCAGGACCGTGCCCGTGACCCCCCGCCTGACCGTGGTCATGACCCCCCGCCGGACCGTGCCCGTGCCCGTGACCCCCCGCCGGACCGCAGCCGTGACCCCCCGACGGACCGTGGCCGTGACCTCCCGACGGACCGTGGCCGTGACCCCACGCCGGACCGTGGCCGTGACCCCCCGCCGGACCGCAGCCGTGACCCCCCGACGGACCGTGGCCGTGACCCCACGCCGGACCGTGGCCGTGACCCCCCGCCGGACCGCAGCCGTGACCCCCCGACGGACCGTGGCCGTGACCCCACGCCGGACCGTGGCCGTGACCCCCCGCCGGACCGCAGCCGTGACCCCCCGACGGACCGTGGCCGTGACCCCACGCCGGACCGTGGCCGTGACCCCCCGCCGGACCGCAGCCGTGACCCCCCGACGGACCGTGGCCGTGACCCCACGCCGGACCGTGGCCGTGACCCCCCGCCGGACCGCAGCCGTGACCCCCCGACGGACCGTGGCCGTGACCCCACGCCGGACCGTGGCCGTGACCCCCCGCCGGACCGCAGCCGTGACCCCCCGACGGACCGTGGCCGTGACCCCACGCCGGACCGTGGCCGTGACCCCCCGCCGGACCGCAGCCGTGACCCCCCGACGGACCGTGGCCGTGACCCCACGCCGGACCGTGGCCGTGACCCCCCGCCGGACCGCAGCCGTGACCCCCCGACGGACCGTGGCCGTGACCCCACGCCGGACCGTGGCCGTGACCCCCCGCCGGACCGCAGCCGTGACCCCCCGACGGACCGTGGCCGTGACCCCACGCCGGACCGTGGCCGTGACCCCCCGCCGGACCGCAGCCGTGACCCCCCGACGGACCGTGGCCGTGACCCCACGCCGGACCGTGGCCGTGACCCCCCGCCGGACCGCAGCCGTGACCCCCCGACGGACCGTGGCCGTGACCCCACGCCGGACCGTGGCCGTGACCCCCCGCCGGACCGCAGCCGTGACCCCCCGACGGACCGTGGCCGTGACCCCACGCCGGACCGTGGCCGTGACCCCCCGCCGGACCGCAGCCGTGACCCCCCGACGGACCGTGGCCGTGACCCCACGCCGGACCGTGGCCGTGACCCCCCGCCGGACCGCAGCCGTGACCCCCCGACGGACCGTGGCCGTGACCCCACGCCGGACCGTGGCCGTGACCCCCCGCCGGACCGCAGCCGTGACCCCCCGACGGACCGTGGCCGTGACCCCACGCCGGACCGTGGCCGTGACCCCCCGCCGGACCGCAGCCGTGACTCCCCGCCGGACCGTGGTGTTGGTGTTGTTGTTGGTGTTCCTGATGGCATTGGTCGTGCCTCTGGTGGTGGCTGCGCTCAGCCGGTTTGTTGCATTGCAAAGACGCCATGGATGCAAAGATTAGAATGAGCTGCCTGCAATTCAAACACCTGCTTTGGACCCGTTTTATAGTCCTCAAAAGTGGGAATGGATGTGATTCCCACTTTTATATTCAACTTCCTCATTTGTTTCATCATAATAATAAAAGAAACAAAACTTTTATGATTCCTTTTTCTTTTGACTAATCCATCAACGAATATGTTCTGTTTTTATAATATTATATTGCCGAATGGAAATGACACTATTTATACATTAGGATTTAAACTCAATTCAAATACTTCCTACTTTAAACAATTTTTCAAAAATTATATTACTTGTACAAATGTATATATTTTCTTACTACATGTTCAAAGATTTTTGTTAATTAATTCAAAACATATTTCAAGTCCATCTAAATTTAAATTGCTTACTATTGTTATTGTTTTAACCACTTTTAATTATTTAAAATAAATTTACTTTAAATATTGGTTTTTGGACGTGCTTATAAAAATTAAATTAATTTTTATTTAAAATGTATTTATTTCAAACGAACTAATACTACAAAATGGACTATTTTGTATTTAAAATCAATGAAGTGAGAAGTTGATTAATGAAACCGTAATTAAGATTAATATTAAAAAGAAACAGATAAGACGAAAAAATAAATCTTGCTTCTGGAAATCAGATTCTTTTTTTTTTAATATTTTATTTTATTTTTTTATTTTAGCGTAAGAATAAAAGATGAGCTGTTTTTATCAAAATTGAAGTGACATAAATTTGGGAAAATGTCTCTTTTATACTTCGTGCCTTAATTCCTCCAAAATAATTGAGAATTTATTATTTTATTAAATATAAATGTAATAAGCTTGGGTTTAGATCGAGACATAAAATCATATAATATTTGGTAAAAAACCAAAAATATAACTTTTTTTTAGTTATGATTTATGAACTCAGATTTTTATGATAAACAGGGTAATAATTATTTAATTAAAAAAAAAACCAATGGGATTAGAATATATTCCTAAAAGGAGGATATGAGGAAGATTCAAATATGTAAAAAAGAAAATAAGAAAAAATGGGTATTAATTGAGGTGCATGATGCTACAATACCCAAAAACCTCTTTAATTGAGTTGATGGAATTGAGTTGATTGCCATGAACTTAAGGTAAATGTAATTTAAGATAAGAACTAAAATATAATTCGAATCAAACGTTTTTTTAAGTTAAAAGTTAAAAGATAATTTTTATATATTTTATATTTAAAAAATTAAAATAAAATAAAGAAGATTCGGAAACAAAACATCTTTTACTAATCTAGGAGTAAAATGGTATAGCATTGCCCTCTAAATGATTGATTTGGTTCTTATAATACTTTAATTATATGCATAAATAATGTCTTTATATGTATAAACATCAACCGTGTAACACTCTAACATCTTATAGGTATCTTCACCATCTTCACCAACGGTATACAACACTCTAACATTTTATAGGTATCTTCACCAACTGTATATAACAATCTAACATCTTATAGGTATCTTCACCAACTGTATATAACACTCTAACATCTTATAGGTATCTTCACCAACTGTTCGCAATTCTTCTTGCCTAGTTCTTTACAACACAACATCCAACTCATTTCATCATCCATTGTTTGCTCACATTTAGTTGAATAGTTGAATCCTCCACTTGACTCATTTCATCCTCCATGAATCCTCCACTTGACTCATTTCATCCTCCATGGTTGGCTGAGGATGGCTCACATTTAGTTGAATGATTAAAAAATCCACTTGTAGAGCATTGTCAATAAAAGTAAATATCTACCCAATACTATATCAACTCAAGCTAACGCTAACAGATTTTGCCCAACTCAAACTCCACGCTAACCGATTTTGCCCATTACCTCATTTGAGTGTCTATTTTAGTCAAAGCCTCCCCCACCCCCCATCAAGGGTCATTTTAGCAACTAAAAATCCCAACCCTTGACTTTTGGAGATCATTGAAGTCCAAGAGCAAGAAACAGGGTCGGTTAATCTATACACAAATACACAGCCGATTCATCAAAATTATTTCTTTCCAATGAAAAAACACAAACTTGATGCAATTGATTTCAGTGATCTTACAATATCTAATGCAAGTTTCCAGAACCGTTCAAAAAAAGCGCATTCACATACAGAGTTCCATCTTTTCTTATTGTCTCCTCGCCGTTTCCAATGAACACGCGCCGCCAGAAGCTACTCTTCATATCTGATGTCCTACAAATGAAGATGATGATGATGACTCTCAGGAATTTTAAACGGTAAGGCCTTGTGGTGCAGCGATGGGTGCCTTGGGCTTGGGCTTTTCAACTACAATGGCCTGTGTGGTTAGCACCATGCCAGCAACTGAAGCCGCATTCTGCAATGCACATCTTGTCACCTTGGCTGGGTCAATCACACCGGCCTCTACCAGATTCTCGTACTTGTCTGTCATTGCGTTATATCCAATTTCCCATTCACTCGACTTGATCTTCTCCACCACTACTTCCCCTTCAACTCCAGCGTTTTGGGCAATTAAGGATGCCGGTGCTACCAGCGCCTGCGTACAAAAAAGACTAGTTTATAACAAAATACCAAACGCTAGGTTCCAGGAATTTCTTAAGAACAAGTGGTATGCTTCGATATGATTACAATGGAAGTTTTAAGGAGTTGACCAAGTAATCTCACGCCAAATAACCAACACCACTGGTTAGTTTTTAAGAGCCAAATGATCATTAAATAGAAGCCTCAAATTCTAATACCTTTTGGATAATATCAGCACCTAGCTTCTCTTCCGCATCTTCAAGCTTGTCCTTGATTGCAGGGACAAGTGTTGAGAGATGAACCAGTGCAGTACCACCACCAGGTACAATCCCTTCCTCTATGGCAGCAAAAGTTGCATTCTTTGCATCCTCAATACGGAGCTTCCGGTCCTCAAGTTCAGTCTCTGTCGCAGCTCCAACCTTAATGACGGCAACACCACCAGATAATTTGGCAATTCTTTCAGACAGTTTCTCAGTGTCATAAACAGAATCCGTCTCAGCCAATTCCTTCTTTAGCTGTGCAATCCTTGCTTGTAGTTCATCTTTTGAAGCAGCATCAGCAATGATGGTGGTAGTGTCCTTCGAGATGGTCACTTTTCGGGCCAAACCAAGCTGTTCAATTGTAGTATTTTCTACAAGCAATCCAAGATCACTGGCTTGAAATTCAGCACCTGAAAAAATAATGTAACAAGGAAATCGTTGGTCATTCTTTCAATCGACATGAAAGCACGTAAGATTTATAAAAATAACTTCCCCTCATATGAACTTCTGATTTAAACAATGCAACTTCACATGCTTGGTTGAGATAGTGAATTCACGAATACAGAGAATAAAGAAACAATTATGCCATCAACTGAACAAGTAAATCCAACAAGAGATCTCAAATGTGTTAGCATTTAAACAGATGAAGCATGTAGTTGCCTATTATAACTTTAAGACTCGAGATTACCTGTCAAAATGGCAATGTCTTGGAGCATAGCCTTTCTCCTTTCCCCAAATCCTGGAGCTTTAATGGCAGCAACATTTAGAATACCCCGCAACTTGTTCACAACAAGTGTAGCCAAAGCCTCACCAGTAATATCCTCAGCAATAATGAGCAAAGGAGCTCTCAATTGCGTGGTTTTCTCCAATATAGGGATTATATCCTTTATTGCTGAAATTTTCTGATCGGTAATTAACACTCGTGCATTCTCAAATTCAGCAATTAACTTTTCAGGGTTTGTGACAAACTGAGGAGAAATGTAGCCTCTATCAATCTGCAAAGCAAAAAACAAAATGAAGACAGAATAGAGTTAAAACATGTATATGACTAGAAATTAGATCAAGAAATATAATTTACTAAACAGAAAAACTACACACCGCCATCCCTTCTTCAACTTCCACAGTGGTCTCAAAGGAAGATGATGACTCAATGGACAAGACACCATCGGGCCCCACTTTTTCGATGGCATCAGCGATCATGGACCCTATCAGCTCGTCATTTCCAGCAGAGATAGAGGCAACAGCTACACAGAATTAAAACAAAACGCAGATCATCAATTAGTTTAAAAAATAATAATGGTCAGAAATAAGAAGTTCCAAACTAAGGCCATTTCGGATATGGAAAGCAATACCTTTGATATCATCTCTGCCTTCGATAGCCCTAGCCTTCTTCTCAAGCTCTTCAATCAATCCTTGCACTGTCTTGTCAATTCCTCTCTTCAGTGATACTGGATTTGCACCGGAAGTAACATTCAGAAGGCCTAGTTTGATAATTTCCCTCGCCAGGACTGAGGCAGTCGTTGTCCCATCACCAGCAGAGTCATTAGTTTTACTTGCGACCTTCATGACAGATAGAATGCTTGTTAATGTTCAATGGCCGATAGATGAGAAGCTTTTGCATCATAACAGATCAAATATATATCGCACTAGTATATAAAAAGGTCCAGAGTACAAAAGACCAACCTCCCTAATTAGAGCTGCACCAGCATTCTCCATGGGATCAGGCAACTCAATTGCACGAGCAATTGTCACACCATCATTTACTACTTTGGGACTGCCGAACTCATCCAGCACAACATTCCTCCCTTCAAATACAAAGGTCGCAAGTTTTTCATTATGTTAAGAACCAAATTGAACAGTGTCTTGTATAGATTTCAACAGCGGAAATATCTACGCAAGGCGGGATAACGAGGAGCACAGAAACGAAATTCAATGCTAACTAATTCATAAATCAAAAGAACCAGAAAGTTACCCCTGGGTCCAAGAGTCAGACCGACTGCATTGGCAAGCTTATCAATCCCAGACTGAAGTGCAGTCCTAGAACTCTGGTCGAACGCTATATCCTTTGCAGTAGCTCTCACAACAAATCTGCTACCCGCCTGTCTGTAATTCACCCTGTTACTCTGCGGTTGATTCACTTTCCTCAAGCTCTGCAACATTAGACAAATGCAGCGTAAGCTACCGGAAATGGCACAGTCCTCCCACTCCCCACATTTTAAAAGATTAAAGAACCCACCCTCAGCTCATCTATCATAGCTAATTACACAAAATTTCTAGCTAGAATGCCAGTTACGTAGAAAAATGAACGAAAGCTACAAATTATTTAGAATACGGAGTAATGAGAGCTGAGGAAGAAATGAGAAAAGCAGTGGAAGCAGTACCTTCTGGGAAGAACAAAGAATGGATGCGGAAGAAATTGCATTCGCAGACGCCATTTTCCGGTAGCAAAGCTCGGAGGTTTTAGTTCCGGTAGAGCTCGCTGGGTTTCAGGATAAGGTGTGTAAGCAAAAGGATGAACGTAATGAATGAATTTAGGGTTTGATTTTATTGTTGGGTTGGACGTTCCAGAAGATTCTTCTTCTTCCAGAACCGTTGAGGCTATTCCAGGATTAGTTTTGTTACGATACGGCCCAAATGTGATTTTAACAAGAAATGTTCCGTACAGTGCGCACTCATGGCGTTGTTTAATCTTTCAAGGCTTTCGTATTGCTAACCTGCACCTTATTTAACAAACATGGGCCTATTGGGCCTATTGGGCCTTTGGCTCCCTTCCACGAAATCCATTTCAGCCCAAAACAATAAGTCCAATCCTCAATTATTCAAAATCAAATAAATGAAAAAAAAAAAAAAAAAAAAAAAAGACTGAACTTACCTTCAACTACCTTTATCATCTCAACTAGTGGGGAACTTCTATCCTATCGTCTTTGGCAATAGAGTTGTTTGAATTTGATAGATTATTTTTAGGTTAGTTATCTGTTTAACATACTTATACTGAAAAATAAAAATCTCATTTGAATCTTGTATTTAAGTAGGCTCGAGAAGGGTAGACTCGCAGCTTCACTCCCCGCCAATTGTTGGAATGATGCAAGCCACACCTCGATTAAAAAAGACCAGAATATAGAATATGAGCTTCGGACTTCAAGAGAACGAGTAGATGTATTAACCACTCAGCTAAGCGTAAATTGAAGTTTGTTAAAATTGTATATCATTTTAAAAAGATTAGAACAAAAACTTACAAGAGAAAAATCCAAACGTAGGTTGACATATATATATAAAGCTATATAAAATACCAAATTAGAACCATCCGTTTCCAAGTCAAAACAACCCTAATTGACTCTTCATGTGAATGATTGATATTGGAGAGTAGATTTGAGCCAAGAAAGAGCCTTCACGGCACAACTCACACATTCCATTTCTTACCACCCAGTTTTGGTAAGAACATTACTATCACCAACCTGCCTAACAAAGTAGTTTCAACCAAATCAATTTCCCTTAATTAATTAATTACATTTCTATCATTTAATCAATTTGTATTAACACTAATACAACTTTCAATCCTGAGAAAAAGAACTTGGGTTTGGGTTTATTATGCAGATATGCACTACTACAATGACATTACTAAGCCAAGAAGAAATTCAATTCTTATAATACATTAATTGAAATCGAAATCTCTGAAAAGGAAAGCCCAAAAATTTGCACAAAAACACCTGATTTTCTAAGTTATAAACAACTAATGACACCGTTATAAGCTTTCGGTAACGCAAACGTTT